CAGTTACCGTACCAAAATTCTTCATGTGATGAGTAGTCCAGCACTGATATGATATCGCCAATTGCAAACGGTAACTCATTAGGTAATACTGCTACATGATCCCAGACTGCTTCAGCTGATAATAAGCACTGAAATTAATTTGTAACTACTGACTGAGGAGACAACATAAACATGAAGAAGAAATATCATGATCTAATAACAGTATTCGATGTAAATGAATTAATTCAAAGCAATTCAGGCTTATTTTGGTCCTGTCACTTTCTGTAAACAAAGCAGTAGAAGATGCAACATTTTCTTCTTCAGCACCAACGAAATGAAAAGTTGAAAACTTAGCAAATCTGAGATCATACTTATTCCTTCTACCTACACTCTTCAACAAGGAAATTATTAGATTCTTTCTAAATTTAAACTCTCGGTTCTTAAAAATCTTTTAGAAATTTCTGTACCTGCTCATCACCACTGGACATTGTACTAGAAGTGGTCATAGACGATGACATGCTGTGTACGGAACTACGAACGCTATGATCGTTGGTTGAAGAGGCAGTTTCTGGGGTACGAAGTCCACTGAACAGGGCATATGCACTCATCCGGGATATATGAGATGCTGTTGCTGATCCGTTGTCTAAAAGAAATCTTCCATTATTTCACGAATGTTTTCTTTAGGCTTTATCAACTGATAAGATATTCCCGGCAGACAACTTGACTTAGTCTAAATGCGACAGGTTTCTGGAAATTTCTTATTTCCACCTCCTTTTGCAAATTTTTAATCCTGATAGACCACGACAGTTCAAGACTTCGTTGCTTTTCATTCATAATAATTCATAAAAATGTAGATCGTACCGCTTTCATCATCGCTATCGATATGAATCGGAAAGTATACTGGATGGCTGCGTGATCGTTTAGTTGCATTGCTATTATTTTTTCTTATCAAATGTGATGGCAGTTCGAGCTATAATGACAGTTATTTAATTTTAGTTTCAAACTTATATCCTAAAACTTTCAGTTTAACTAATTTAAAACTGATGTCAGTTTAAATTCCAATTTCACAAAACTTTTACTTGTAAATAATCCTTAAAATTTGTCAAATGAATCTGCTTCTAATGAAAGCTACACATTTTTTTTTATTAGTATAGTTACTGTATATACTTATCTTTTCTCAGATGAGGAATCGTTTGAGTGAAATTTAGACAATTCGAGCTTCAATTTTAAAGGTAACAGTAGATAATGTTATGAAACAATTTGAAAAAAGGTATTTACAAGAATTCACTATGAACAAAACAATTATGTGTATTACTGATTTATCGCCACTCTTAGCCACACTATCAATAGAAGGAAAACATCTAATTGTAGTTAAAAGCATTTTAATTCAAATTAAAAAAAATGTAATTTGAAAGTACTTCGGTTTCTAAAAATAATTCAAAAATGTTGCAATTCAAATGTTTTTAAAAGAGAAAGTAATTCTACTTATTTCCATCGCTGCTATGAAGCCAAACAGATTGCAAATCTGTAATTCTACAAACATGGAAAAAGTATTTACTTCTTCGATAACAGCCAGTCGTACCATATATGTCGTCTTGTCCACTTATACTACTACTACTTATCCGTTGTTTTACTGCTTTGCTGCACTTTAATGAATACACAACTGCTGCAGATGTATCAGTCGCAAGAGAATAATCATATCATAAAAGATAATTATGTGACACCTATCCTGAGAGATCAACATCTACAAATCGCTCGATGACGGATATCGTCACTGATGAGAAAGAGATAAACTTGAATTCTCTTACAGGACTGATCATTCTGAATTGATCTTTTTGCTGAGTTGATTATTCACTTCTACTTTAACGTGTCAAAATTAGCTTGAAAACTACAACAGAAGATGAAATTCGTTATCAGACGCTAAAAATGTTTAAATAAGCTAGAATTGATTGTAATCTCAAGACCGAAAAACTTTAAACTAGTTCAGCAAAAACCTCCAAAAAAATGGAACTTAAATAAAGAGAAACAGCGAAAATAGCCTTTCGACATATCAATTATTTTGATAGAGAAATAACACAGTTCTGAATATTGTCATGAAAGTGAAAATATTGATATTTAATTCACAACATTTTACTAATATTGTATAAATCAAAAGCAGAATTTTAAAAAAAAAAATTATTTTGAAAAATAGGAAAAAAAATTTCGTTTTTAAATTAATTTTTTTTTTAAATAGGATAAGAGCAAGAAGTGTTGCGAACTGGTATATGTATTTAAAAGGCAAACAAAAAATAAAAATACTAATTTCTGCTTCTGAACAATTGTAACTTATGAAAGTTTTTTTAATTACAGCAAGTTGCAACTTACTTAATTATTAGTAAAATGTTAGTTAAAGATCATAACTGTAATAATATGATAAATCGCCGCTACTTTATACATCTTATTTATTCAGTTCTGATTTCATAAACCGAAATTGGACTATTTTACAACTTTACAGTAAACTTATATCTTATTCTGAAATGAAAATAAAGAAAATAAGCTTGAAGAAGAGTCATTTTGGAACACTCCGTGTCAAACTTAACATGTAACACATGTAACAACATCTGGTAGATCAGTCTTGTCTTGACTACAGTTCTCTACTTTCTGGCAACTTTAGTCAACTGGACTTGCATCTAATGTATATATATATATATATATATATATATATGATGGTCGGTAGTACAAAATTTTGAATGTAAACTTGGCTAAAAATAAAAATAACTTTCTAGCTACCTCTTCGATTTCTTGCCGCATTTGGTCAAGACAAAATAAATCTCGAAAGAATAAAATATGTGCTCTCATTAAAACAATTCTTTTTGCCTTATTTGAGGATGATTTATCCTGTATGGTAGCTCAGTTCGAAAGACATTCGCTGAAAATTTTACTAGATTCACGGATCCAAAAAAGTTTGGTAAAACAAATAACAGTTCCAAAAGGCAATGTGTTGAGAAATTTCGGGAATTATAGTAACCAAAAGTTAAAATCAGAAAGAAAGATGATAATACTATTGGAACTAAGATCCGAGTGCTGTTAGTTACCAGCAATTTAGATTTAAAGAAAAGAAAATATACTATGAGAAAGCTATACATAGACATATTTTTCTTTTCAACCTAGTATTCAATTTTCATTGAATATTTAATTGAACAGATATGTCTGGAACCACAAAATGCAACTTATGTCAACTTTTATGTGAACATTGTATGTTATTTGTCACTTATATATTGATTAACTCATTCTTAATTTATAACTCATGCAACTTGCATAGTTTATCTATTAGCGATTAGCAACTTTCAAACTATTCGCTGGCTAATGCAGGCTTTGAAACTTTGGAAAAAAAAGACGCTTAAATTAGTTGAGAAGAGTTTTGGAAGCAAAAAATATTTTATTGACTGATATATTTTCATTTAATATACAGATTTCATAATTGCTTAATCAAAAATTAAAGTTATTTTATAGCGAAAATGGTGCAAATGATATTTCATTTAATAAGAATGGATGAATGAACGAGTGGAGAAGAGAAGGAAGTAGAAAGATAAGGAGGAAAATGACTAGTGCCATTTTAAAAATTTATGAATTTACTTTTCATCACAGATGCAGCGATTAAAAATAAATTTAAAGTGAAAAAATAGGGCAAAAAAAAAAATGGAAGAGAAGGAAAGATGTTTCCTATGGAATGTGAAAAATATAGACGTGAAATATATCGAACGTTTTAAATTAGATTTACCATAATTTTGGTTGGAAATGACTGAATGATAAGAAAGCAACAAAACTGGGAATTTATTTTATCACTGACTGAAAATTCATCAGAAGGTTTCATCTCCATTCCAGTTTGCTTTAAAAAGTTCAAAATTTCAGGCTTCTCAACTTCTTATATAGATTTACTTAAATTTGGGTAAATATATTAGTGAAAAAAGTGCTCTATTATAGAGGCAACATACTACTTTTATTACTCATAATGCTTTTTAGTTTCAGGATAATTACAAGTGAAAACAATAAATCTTCCTAATTTTCTAACCTAATCTTTCTAACTTATTGCATTTTTTTTTCTTTTCTTTAATTTCTCCTCAAATTTTATGCTTAATTTTTACTTCTTTTTCCGATTAGCTACTTCAAGAGTTCAAAGTGACCCATTCATAATTCTCTATCAGAAAAAAAGCCAAATTTCTCAAAAATTTTAAAATCGTTAGTTAGGTATCCTCTCTTTCTAACACTAATTGCAAATCGCTTCCTCTAACAACTGCAGTTCCAAATCCCGATGTATCCTTCTGATCATAATGAAAGTGGGCAAACCTGATTTGTACTTTCTCTTTCAAAGTCGTATTGATAATCACTCTTAATCTAAAACGCCGTTCATAAGTGATGTCCGAAATTCAAAAAACCGATTTGTGGAAAATTAAAACCTGCTAAGGGGAACATCGCTGTGTTTATTAGTTTCGACTGTCAAATTTACAAAGTAGTTTCGAGTTTATACTTAATTTTAAGAATTCATTTTAAAATTCTGCACAAATTTTTGAAGGATGAATGAACTGGAGTGTAACTGTAAATGCAATATGATCTATTGAAGTTTTCGAAGCTTTCATAAACTTAACCTTAGCCTTCTTTACTTTTTTTCAAATCAATTAGTTATGCTAATTACAGACATCCACTCACTGATAAGTACTGACCTGTTAGCAAGCACACAGTCATCCGATGAAAATATTTTTCTAAAAAATTGAAAAAAAAGTGACTATTCAAGGTGAAGATTAAATCCAAAAAACTCATAAATTATGCGTTTATTTGAGAAGAGGCAAAACAGGATGAATTAAAAGTAATAGTTTCAACCACTCATCTTTATCAAAAAATAGTTTTCATGCAGTATCTAAAAAAACAGCATATATCAATATTTTTTTCTGCTATCCCTTCTAATTCCTACAAGTTATTGCTTGAAAAAAAGACACTAGAAGTTCTCAATGCTGAAATGGTCATAAGAATTTAAATGGATATTGTCAGGCTTCGATATGAAAATCAATTCTACAGCAATATCTGGTATCTCGTCCTTGCTGTTTATTAACTGTTATAAAGGATGACATATATAATCTCACACTCAAATCGTCGCAACACTGTCGTAATCTTGTTAACATAGAAGCTTGTTGCAGAAATGTCGTTGTCACTGGTGACGTTAGTAGTGGTCGTTCTTGTGCTAGTAATGACAGAGATGACGGAAGCGACAAATTTGCGTCACTATCGTGACTTGTTGGTTCACGTACTTTAATAATGGATGCCATGGAGTGCACACTTCGTTGCACAACACAATACATCACTTCGCCTTTCTCCTTGTCCGATTGAAAAAAAAATCATAAGATGAGAAGACCTTGAACTACAATTATTAGCGCTTAACTTATGGCAATGGTTCTGTATAACAGAAATAAATATTTATCATCTTGAAGATGCTGATACTTGATAGTAAAAATATACGATGCAGGGATAGGCTATCAAAGAGCAGTGCATCAGAGAGCGAACAGTCAATACTATGAAAAACCCTAAACATATTTACATTACGTATGACAAATCTGAAATTAAGGATAAATAAATTTGGGCGCTGCAAATTGGACGAAATACTATTCAAATCAGATTATTCATCTATTTTACGGACTCAAGTAAAAATCATTAATGAAATTATTTCCAAAGAAACTAATAATTAAGCAAATAATAAATGATAAAGACGAACAACAAGGCAATAAACAGCTGTTCCAGATAATTACTAATTATTATTGCAATTGCCTTGTTAAATGGGATAAGCAGAAATGAGCTTTTATCCTTCGCCAGTGAAAGATACAAGTTTTATTTTTTCAAGGGACAAAACGAAATTTTATGATAGATGTTGTAAATGAAAGCCATCCAGTATTTGAAGCAGCTCGTTAGAAGTTATGGACGCATGCATATTTGCTACTTCAAAATACACGCGATGAGTTGTAGACTAAGTTCAGATTTTAAAAGGTTCATAATATGGAGCTTTCACTATTTACTGCAAACCACTCATATACTTGCGGCCTTAAATATACATTAAGTTCAGGAAAGTTTTTTGGTTTTCATAAAGGTAACATCAGTAAAATGAAATTATAGAATGAAATACTGCTAAATACTCATAGTTTACTCTAAGACTTTTGACCATTGTCTCTTTCCTCTTACTATGCCAGTGACAATCTCACTAGAATAAGTAATCAAAGAGCAATGATGTTTCTTAAGTGTGTCGTGACAAAATTTTTTATTGATAGTTTAAATTTAAAATGTGTATCTAATAGGACATATAAATGAAACAATATAAAACAAATTACAGACGAATCATGTAATTTTTTGCAAAAATTTGAAGCTTGGTTCAAAATTTAAAGATTTTGAAATATAAAGATCCTAAACTGTTAAACTTCTTTGATTCCCATGGAATTTCTCTCCGTCAAAAAAAAAAGCAAGTGAAGCTCTGATATTCAAAAAGAGCTTTTACTTAAACAGAAACTATCAAAGAGAGATGATAGAGAAGTGTAAAGTTGTTTTTAAAAAAATGTGTGCCTTGAAGTGTTGACGAGGACATGACAGAGAGATAGTTGGACATACAGGGAAATGAGTTGCGCTGGGCAGTGACCCAGTTTTGCTGGAGTAGTAAAAGAGAGGTAACTTCGTTAACTTTAATTGTTTTAATTCTCAATGCCAAATTTATCCAATTATTTTTAAATAAAAATAAAATGTTTACTTCTGAATTTTTGCAAGACAGTAATTCATTAATAATTCGCTGTCTAGTGGCTGATGTTAGTTTATTAGTCAAAAGCGACAAATGTAATAATTATGCACGTACTTTAGTTTATATGTTGCATGTAGCATAGATGTTTTCATTAAAATTATAAAAATTTGAATGAGTCTGATAACAGAGTAGGATAAATTGTTGTAATAAATATCAGTAACATATTTGCACTTTACCTTAATGAGTATTAACAGATAAATTTCCTCTTTGAAAAGTTATACAATTTTCATATTCTCTAATTATTGAAGTCAAGAAAGGACGAAAAATCATTTTCAGCGCTTTTTAAATCAAGAATTTCTCAGAATAACTAGGTATAGAAATAAAGTTAAAACGTACAAAGAAGTAAAGAAATAAACCCAAAACAAAAATTTTGCTGGTTACTTGAAGTAAACCGTGCTCAAAGTGATTAACAGTTCAACTATATGACTGAAATAGTTTTGTTAGATCGAGAAGTGAACAAAAGTGATTTTTTATTAGATCTTTTTATTAGTAATTGTCGTGCAAAAAATGCAAGCAACAAAAAGTGAGTAAATGAAGGACTTAGGACAATTTTTTTTAGCATGGCTGCAAGAGAAGCTGTGGTAAAATAGTTGTAGATTATTGTAGTGGAAATAAGAGAACTGAGAGGAAAAAAGTGAATGAAAATGGAAGAGAAAACTGATGAACTACAAACTTAGTTAAATCTAAAACGCTTCTCTCTATAACAATAAATAATCCCACCAATATAGCAAATAAATGAATAGTTTGGGAGTGAAACGATTTAGCAAAGAAAAAAGATTTTAATTGTTGGTGAATTTGTGACGAGACGTTTAAAAAAAGATTAATCTAATCATAATGACTATATTCTGCTATCAACAACTACTACACCACACTACTCAGTTATTTTATCACTACCAATACTCGTCCTGTCATTCAACTTTATCAATGTCCCAATTTGTTCGTTTATCGCAGTCATTCTTATAACTCTCTATGATATCATATAAAAAATAAGCAGTACCTAAAAATATTTACCACTATTGGTAATATTTACCGCTATCATCACAATTTAACTCAAACTCACATCTTACTGTCTCCCACCAACCAATGTCACCAATAACTAAAATATAAAGCTATACTCGAGGTTCTATATTTCTTTCTTTTAGTACCACATTATTGCTTGTTTTAGCTCCCCTTTTTTCAAAAGTTCTATCTTGAACTATCGATAGTTCTGTGACTAAATTTAAATCGTATTGAAAAAATGTGCACTTAGACGCACATATATTGCACGGCAATACTTCGTAATACTAATCATTTAGTCTAATATCTACCATTTATGTCATATGCAAACAGTAGTATCAGTGCCGAAAAAGTTCGGTAGGAAAATGACAGAGTAGATTGCGAATAGAATGGAGATGAGCAGGTTATTAATTGAAGGGCAGAAGGACAAGAGCTCAAAATTCCAAGGTCGAGTTTGCATTTTTATAAATATTTTCTAAATTGTCACCATGGGTTTAATAGAAATGTTAACAATATGTAAAAGTCAAACTTCGTTGATATACATGCAAATGATATTGCAACAGTACATTTACCGAAAATAAGAACAAGTACTTAAAATATATTTAAAACTGATCATAAACTTTTTGCTATTAACTGAATGAAAAATCTTGATGTACTTGTACTAAGAATTAAACTAAGATTTTGCAAATTCTACTAAGTGACCAAAGATATGCATAAATACTGAGAATATAACACAGTTTAAATAAAAAACGTAGAAGTTTCACAATGAAAAACAGCTTCGTCTAAGAAAGCTAATATAATATAAATGCGAATAGGTCATCTAATATTGAAATTCGAAATTAAACCTAAGCAAGTTATTTATAGCGGCAGAAAGACTTCCTGTTTTGTTTTCAAACTGCAAATAAATTTTCGAAAACATTTTTATTAATAAAAAGTTCAAATTCCAATTGAAACGTCCATGGAGAGAATTTTTTTTTATGAGACTGAAAATATTGTTTAACGTTTGCTAACCTTTACATGGAATCACTGTCATATTCTTAATCTCTTGTTTTATGTCTAAACTGTTCTCAAATCCTTAAATATTAACAGAAAAGGATAGCTGAAAAAATGATACTTAATTGAAAACAGAAATTACCGAAAACAGACTTAGATTTCTAATAATTAAAAACTTTTATGTAAACCTAAATCCCTTAAATAATAAGGTTGAATTCTAAATTATCAGTTTGCTGATTGTTGCTACTGAAATTACAGCAATGAATAAGAATTTAACCCCAGTTGTGATTGCTTGATTTTGCTATATAAGTCATGATGAGAAGATAGCAGATTATTTGCAGCAGAATTTTCAAAAACATTTAAAGTCCTAATTTGAAGTTTTTTTTCTGCTTACTTTTAGCAGTCAAATGTAGGTTAAATCTTTAGCACTAAATTACTTTTGATTTGTTTACCACATAATTTACCAGTTAAATCAACAGAGAAGGAATTTGATGGTCATACTGAACAATTCCTTATTATCTTCCTTAATTTCTTAAAACATTTTAAATATTCCACTTCATTCTTTAAAAGTTTTTTTTTTTTCATTTATAGTCTTAGAAGTTCTACCTCCCAAATCAGCCGCAATAATTAAAAGTTTCAATTGAATTCCAACTTTCTAAAGTTATGTGTTGCAAAGTCACTCTCAACTCATGCTTTATGAATCTTGTGTGGCTAAGGTCATCTGCTGCTTCTTTAGTTTGCTACAATATTAATTCTAGATTCAATGGATAAAATGTAGCAGCACTTCCTCATATGAAGTCCGTATTTATTCTTGATCGTTGATTACTCTCGGAAATGTACAACAAAGAAAATAGCGACTACAAAAATAATATTTGCAAATGATAGGAATAGTCCCGTTGAACTATCAATAAGCTTATTAGTTGTAACTTAATATTAAAAAGTTCATGCTAAAAAATCGATAAATCATTGCAATGTGGTAACGGTTTGAAATATGAAATATATATCTCACTTTTTAGAAGACTGATTGAGAAATGATAAAGAAATTTTGACTGAAACAGCTTCCGCTATTCCAGTATTGAAAAATTGAAGCGAAACCACAATCTTCCTTAATGATATGTTTAAGCTGATTAATTCTAATATTCTAATCCATAATGTAAATTTTTGATGAATATAGAAATGGCCTAGAAAAGATGAACAATAGTAATTTGAAAGACAGTGAAGCAAATCAATTGGTAATTAATAAGCAAACCGACAAAGATTCTTGATAATACTCGCATGCTAGCATCCAGTTGGACTGAAACCACAAATTCTGGAGAACAAAAAACGAATACTTTAAGCATAAAGCCTAGAATGTAATTCTTATAAGACTACAAAGTAATGCAAAGTATATAACTAATATGTGTTTATGAAGATCTGACTTGAAAATACAATAAATAGAATTTTACCTTAAATCTTCAGACCTTTTGGTTAGAATTAACCAGACTAACCAGTTGAGTGAAATGTAATGTGAGCCTTTATTAATCACTAAATTAAATA